AGGCACATATTTCAGGGGTTTCTAAGATACAGATATGGATTTTCAAAGACGATAAAACACACTGATGCTTTTGTGTGAGACTGCTTTCTTCTTGGGAATTAGTTTTCCTTGTCAGAGAAATTAGCTTCAAACACCCACACAGTTCCCAAATCTCTGCCAGAAACAAATGACCACTTGTGAAATGGTTGGCTTTTGATTTATTCTATAAAAAGTACCCACATGAAGTTAACAATTGCAGGCTGTCACTGTACGACATATAATAACATATTCAACAGAAGTGTAATTTCAAAGGTAGTTACAAGATAATCACTGGTTGCTACTTTGTTCAGACTGCATAAATTGTAACATTGCTTTAATATAAATGCTCACTATAAAATAATTTCATTTCATTACTATTTTACATTGTACTTCAAATGGAAAGACTCATCTGGCAAATTGTGACCACAGAGGTGCTCAAATGGGTTTTGAAGGAATTTGGTATTTAGCATCATTTTTTTAATGAAAGGATTTAGCAATGTATTTTAATGACTGCTACTAAAGAGAAACAAAAATTGCTAAATGGGGCTCTTTTTCCTCTGAGTTCAGATGAATACCTTTAGAGGCAAATTAAATACTAGAATCATTTAAAAAAAAATCCCTATCCCCATTCTGCAATCAAGGAGTTTTATTTCACTTAATTTTACCAGTTTGGGAAGACCAGCTTCACTTTATAAGTTCAACTTTCTAAGGATAGCATAGTATCCTGATAGAAAAGAGGAGAAATGGAAGTTTCAAAATCTGACTTCAAACTATACTACACAGTGATAGTAATAAAAAGAGTGTGGTATTGAAACAACAAGCAGAAACAGAAAAGAGAACCTAGAAATAAAACCACATAAATATGGACTGCTAGTCTTTGATGAAGGAGCTATAAGCATACAATGGAAAAAAAATAACTTTAACAAATGGTGGTGGAAAATATGACAGTCACATAAAAAAAGAAAGAAATTCTGTCATTAACTACAAACATAATAATTAACTCAAAATGGATAAAAACCTGAATATAAGACCTGAAACCATAAAATACATAAAAGAAAACATGAGATGCCTTCCTGAAAATCAACTGCACAGATGTATTTTGCGACAAAACTTCAATAGTAAAGGAAACAAAAGCAAAAAATGAACAGACTACTTCAAAACTAAAAAGCTTTTGCACCAGGAAAGAAACTACCACAAAACAAAAATGCAACCTATGGACTGGGAGAAGATATTTACACCTCATACTTCTGTTAAGGATTAATTTCCAAAACATATAAAGAGCTCAACAACAAAAAAGAACTCAGCAACAAAACTCAGAACTCATAGAACTCAGCAACAAAAAAGCAAACAGCCCAAAGAAAGAATGGGCAAAAGGCCTAAAGAGACACTTCTCCAAGGAGGTATTCAGAGAGCCCAAGGAAACTTAGAAATGTACAATATTTTATTTTATTTATGGAAAATGCAAATCAAAGCCACAAGGAGATCCCACTTCACCCCGGTGAGAATGGCCCATGTCAAAAAGACTGACAGCAACAAATGTTGGCGAGGATGTGGAGAAAAAGTAACTGTCATCCACACTGTGAAAATGTAACATGGTATAGCTTTTATGGAAAATTATAGATTTTTCAAAAAAATAAAAATGAAACTATAATATGAACTGGTAGTACCACTTTAGGTATTCACCCAAGAATATGATACAAAAAGATATGCACTCCTATGTTCATAATAACATTATTCAGAACAGCCAAATCATGATACCATCCTAACTGTCCATCTCTCAGCTATTAGATAAAAATTATGGACTGTATAGTTAATAGAATACTACTCATCTATAAAAAAGGTAAAAGAGCCCTTTCAGAGAAAATGGATGGATCTAAATAAAATAAGTCAGAAAGTTAAAGATGGTTACTGAATGATTTCACTCATTTGAGGGATATAAATTACCAAATAAACAAACAGGCAAAAAACACAAAAATTCTCAAACTGAAAATATGGAGTTACCAGAGGGTAGAAGGGAAAGGGAGAGAAGCTGATAGGGTTATGGCAATGGAGGTTTGGTGGAGAGTGATTGGGGAATATTCTTATATGGAAGTTTAAATTGTAGTCCCCGAATTATGTGGTTATATAAATGAGTGGCACATCAATAAAATTTGAGAGAAAAAGAAGAAAGTATTTTCAAACAGTAGAATTATCCAATAATTGAACGTTTTCAGGATATAGTGAACAGACTGAGGCTATAAAATTTTCTATTGGATTGCTGGTCATTCATTCACTATTATAATAATAAGGATTTAAGAATTGAAGGGAAATTGGGAATAGCTAATCCTAGAGTCTTTTCTAACTCAAAATGTTCTGTTGCTGCTAGCAATTTCCGCTGCATTATTGATTTACTGAAAACAAAACAAAGTCACAACTAATTGACTATAATGAAATAAAATCTTAATTCAGTAATAAAAATGATCAGTAACTTATCTAAAGAGACAACTTCAGCATTTCCATGTTAAATAATTTTTGATTGGTCCTCCCTGGTGGCACAACGAGTTAAGATGCAACTTATGAAGCTATCTGCAGCCACTGTAACACGAATCCGATCCCTGACCAGGGAGCTACTCACATGGCACAGCAGACCTCTCTTACTCACCTGCTGCTCCCCTCACAGTGTACTTCAGTCGATCTGCCTGTTCTGTCCCCCATGCTGTCTCTGATAAATCCTCTTACCCCCCCCCACACCTCTGGCTTGTACCCCAGTTCTTGTGTACATAAATACATCTTTAAAAAAATAATTGTTTATTAACTGTCAGAGTGAGTCAGCCTTGATAAAACAATTTTTGCAATGCATATTCCAACATTTACCTCTCTCTACAATAGCAAAGATAGCTTTAGTACCTGTAGATTGGCTAAAATTCTGTTTCTGATTTTTTTTAAGATTTATTTATTTATTTATACAAGCATTGGGTACAGTTAGAAGTGCAGGAGGGTGAGAGAATTCACCAGAGCCAGAGCGAGCGGGGAACAGAACAGACAGACTGACGAAATACACTGCTGAGGGGAACAGCAGGCGGCAGGAGAGGTCTGTGCGCCATGTGGGACCCTCACCGGCAGCCGGGGATCGAACCAGCGCTGTAGAGGCTGTGGGCAGCTTCTCAGCCCAGCGCTCAACCGCTGCGCCACCAGGGGAGGGAGGTCCTCTGATTTTTTTTTTTTTTTAATTTATACAAGAGCTGGAGTACAGGCCAGATGTGTGGGAGGGTGAGAGGATTCTCCAGAGACAGAGCCAGGAGAAGAACAGGCTGACTGAATGAAATACACTGCGGAGGGGAGCAGTGGGTGAGACAGGAGAGGTCTGTTTCACCATGTGGGACCCTCGCCAGCCGGGCAGGATCGAGCCTGCGCTGCAGAGGCTGTGAACAGCTTCACAGTTTGGCACTCAACCACCTGCACCACCAGGGAGGCCCTGATTCTGATTTTTTTTTAAAGATTTATTTTTATTTATACAAGAACTGGGGTACAGGTCAGAGGCACGGGAGGGTGAGAGGATTCACCAGAGACAGAGTGGGGAACAGAACAGGCAGACTGAATGAAATGCACTGCTGAGGGGAGCCCCGGCGAGGCAGGAGAGGTCTGCTAGCCATATGGGAATCTCCTTGGCTGGCCAGGAATCAAACCCACACTGCAGAGGCTGTGGACAGCTCACAGCGCTGTGCTCAACCAGCTGCACCACCGGGGAGGCCCCCGTTTCTGATTTTTTAAACTTGGAGCATCACAGTTGGGGACAGTGATGGGTCCCCAAATATCTCTGCGTATGACATTCAGTCCCTTCTAAATAACAAGGAGTATATACATCAAACTCACAATTAAGTGAATATTCTAGGCTTTTTGCAGACTTTATTAATGATGATATCACAACTCTTAGTCATGCTCAAGTTCTGGTGGTATATATCCTGGTGTTTTAGAGCAGAAACAGACCAGAGAGACTGCTAGATCCTTCTGCTTCTTGCTAGAGGCAGCACAGTGAGATCTCAGTATGGAGGCCAGGAACTGTGCTTCAGCCTCTTTATCACTAATGAGAGGTAGCATCTCAGACAGAGGACTTCATATCTCTAAGTCTCCAAGTCCTCAGCCTGGCACCTTCTTTGTAGATCTTTCATCAGGAATAAAAGGCCTGGGAAGCGATTTGAAGGATGTTACAAATAATACAAAATCATTTTTGTACCAAAATGAGGTTAACAGGAGTTTGTCTAAGTTTTCAGCTTTTAAACCAGCTTCCCCAAACTCTTGTCCATTGAAATATCAGAAATCAACAAATTAGCAAATATTTGAATCTCAAACTATAGCAAACACTATGGGCATAAACTTGGAACTTTTTTTGTGTGGAAGATTAGATTTATAGGTAAGCATTTAAAGGATGCTCCAAGGTTAAAAAATCAGAAGTGAAGAAGATGAATTTTAGCCAACCAACAGATACAAAAGCTATTTTTGTTATTGTAGAGAGAGATAAATGTTGGAATGTACATCACAAAAATATTTTCATCCAGGTTGACTCACTCTGAAATTAATAAACAATTATTTAACATGGAAATCGTGAAGTATTTCTTTAGATATGTAACTGATCATTTTTATTACAGTATTAAGATTTAGCAGAACAGCTACCTTTTGTGGTTTCATCCACGTGATATATAAGTCAGAGCAAAAGTTAGCAATTTGGACGGGGAATCTGGTATAGCGTGATTAGCCCATCACGGTTTGTGTTAAGATGCCAATATTTATTGTGAAATAAGGAGAATCTATTTATATATTTGTATAGCTGCTCCAGGCCAAACAATGTTGAAAATATTTATTGTGTATAGTTTCTATCTAAGGCTTGGTATAATAGCACAGTATATTTAAAATAGACGGAAAAATAGGTCATAGCTCTATTTTGTTATTTTCATGTATTTGATATTTGTTACCTAATTGTTCCAATCACCTGGACTCCTTTCTAGTGCTCTGTGACCTGTGGCTCTGGGGTTCAGCAAAGGGATGTGTACTGCAGACTAAGAGGTGTGGGTCGCGTGGCCGAGGAACAGTGTGATCCGTCCACCCAGCCTTATTTTCAGAGGCAATGTTGGCGTCAGGACTGCGTGCAGTACCAGTGGGTGGCAGAAGAGTGGCTGCCTGTGAGTACTGACAAGTAAACATTCAAAGACAACTTTTCAATAAGAGTGTGTGATTCACTTGGCCATTGTCTTCCTAGTGCTCCACTTCATGTAAGAAAAAAGAGACACTTCGGCAAGTGAAATGCGTGGATGCACAGAACATTCAAGTGAATGAAAGTTTCTGTGAGCCTTCAACCAGACCTGTTTCCGTCCAAAAGTGCAGGACTCCTCCCTGCAAGTATATCGTAGTCACTGGAGACTCATCTCAGGTAAGGCAGAGAAAGGAAATCGAGGATTTTTGCCCCTGAAGAAAAACAACTCAATCTAAACTTTGACCAAGTTAAAACTTGATCTGAATTTGAGTAACAGGGCAGATAATGGTATGCATATGAGTCTAAGGACAAAACCACTAAGGGCAGTGGAATAGCGTAGAGTAACGTGGGTATGTGATGGAACTACCAGAACAGTTTGGCAGGTCGGCTTTATAGGTGCCTATTTTGTTAAAAAACAGTTTCGTCGAGGTATCATTGACATAAATAAACTGCAAGTATTTACAATGTACTCATTGCTCTGTTTTTAAATATGCACACACACATAAAGTCATTACCATATTCAAAATAAAGAGCTTTGCCATCTCCCAATAAGTTTTCCTAGGTTAATTTATAATTTTTCCTGACTCCTCATTTTACATAAATGGAATGATACAATGTGTACAATTTTTTTTGTTTGATGTAGTATAAATATTTTAAGATTCAGTTGCATTGTAGCATGTATGGATAGTTTATTCCCCTTTATTATTGAAATTCCCCTTTATAATTGAAAATATTATTGAACAATAGTTGAATATTTTTAAATCTACTAACCATTTTTATCTGGTGTCTAATCTGTTATTTCACTGCATATTGTGAAATGAAAAAGTATCTTTTTCATTTTGGTGTAATACTCTTTGGAGGTTTGATATCACAGTTTTTATGTCTTCAGTGTTTCTACTTATTTTTTGAACATATGACAATTAGTAATAACTTTTTAATGTCTCCTGCTAATTCTAATATTTATGTGGGTGTGTTTACAATTTAGTAATTTTAGTATATTCACAAGTTGGGACAATTATCTCCATGATATGATTCTAGAACATTTAACCATCCCCAAATTAACTCCATTCCATTAGCAGTCACGTCTCATTCCCTCCTTCCCCCAACATCAGACAACCACTAACTTAAATACTGCCTCTATGTATTTTTCTGTTATGGAATTTCCTGTAAGTAGAATTATACAATTTTGTGTCAAGCTTCTTCATCTTACATGATACTTTCAAGATTCATCCCTGCTGTAACATATATCAGTACTTCATTCTTTTATGTAGATGAGAAAAAATTCCTGTGTAGGTTAGGTTAATATTATATTTTTAATTTATACATTAATTGATGGGCATTTGAGTTGATTTACTTTTTACTATTATGAATAAGACTTTTAGGAATATTTAGGAATTTAGGTAATGCTGTTATTTAGGTTATTTAGGTAACACTGTTATTTTTTTTTTAAAGATTTATTTTTTTATTTATACAATAGCTGGGGTACAGGCTAGAGGTGCGGGAGGGTAAGAGGATTCACCAGAGGCAGAGTGGGGAGCAAAATAGGCAGAAAGCACTGCTGAGGGGAGCAGCAGAAGCGACAGGAGAGGTCTGCCATGCCATGTGGGAATCTCCCTGGCCAGCTGGGAATCAAACCCATGCTGCAGAGGCTGCGGACAGCTTCACAGCGCTGCATTCAACCCGCTGCGCCACCAGGTAGGCCCCATATTTAGGTAACACTTATTTAGTCACAATGTGTTATAGTTATTAGGTAACATTGTCGGAAATCAGTTGACCATAAATGTATGAATTTATTTCTGAAGTCTCATTTTGAGAGTTGGTTACTTACTGTGTTTTGTAATAGGATTTGAAATTAGAAAATATGAGGGAAACAACTTTGACTTCGTTTTTAGAGTTATTTGTTTATTTTGTGTCCCGTACTTTTCCATATATGTTTTAGGGCCAACCTTTCATAGTCTGTGTAATACTAAGCTTCGGGATTTTGTTAGAGATTGTTTTGAATCCTGATCAATTTGAGGAATACTGTGGACTTAATAATACATCTTCCAATTCATGATCATGACATTTTTTTTCTCCTTAATTCGGGGGTTATTCATTTCTTTCAACATGTTTTGTAGTTAACCATGTAAAAGTTTTGACCTTTTTGTTAAAGTTATTCTGAAGTATTTTATTTAGTTTTTATTCTTCTATAAATGGAATTGTGATCTCAGTTTCATTTTCTGAAAGTTCAATGCTAGTTTATCTAAATAGAATTGATTTTTATATATTGAATACATTTATTGGCTCTCATATTCTTTTTGTGTGTGGATTACCTTAGCATTTTCTATATACAACTGCAAATAGAAATACTTTACTTCTCCTTTTAAACCTAGATGTCTTTTACTTCTTTTTCTTTACTAATAACCCTGGCAAGAAAATAACCCTGACAAGACAAAAAATAATTTATCCGGGTGCTATTGTTATATCAGGTTAGAAGGAAACTATTCTGTTACTCTGTTTTTGCTACAAGTAGAAACCTATTATCCTATTTTTGGTCTAGACCTTTAGTTGACATCTGAATCACTTATTATAGCCAGTTGGCATTACACATCACATCTTATATATTAAATAATTATATACTAATTTATATGCCCATTTTTTGAATTGGGCAATTTATGCTTCTATTGTTGTATTGTTTCCTAGATTCTGGGTCCCAATATTTATCAGTTACATGGTTTACAAATCTGTTCACCCATTCTATGGTTTGAATTTTTACTATATTGATAATGTCTTTTGACATTAACAATAAATCCAATAAGTTCTTATAACTTATATTACTAATAATACCCCTTATTTCAGGTAAGAACCCCTAATAGATTTTATTTCTTCAGATTTGTGCCTCCTGCGAGGTAAAGTTTCATTCAATTAAAATATTCTTAGTAGTGTAATAGAAAACAGACAAACATGCATGCACACACAAATAGACAATTAATCCTAAATTTGGATCCTTTCCTTTAATTGGTACAACTCTGAGAAAGCTACCAAATGGCTCTGAATTTTTATTTATTCATCTGTAAATGAAGCCAATATGTAGGATGGTTGTGGGAAGTACGTAGTATAGCATATATTAAGGACCTGACAAATATTAGACCCTGGCTAGGTTTAAGGCATCTCCTCTGATTGTGATTTATTTATTTGTCAGTGTACAGGTAACTGTGGATTTAAGCACCGACAAAGGATTACAGATTGCATCAGGATCGACTCTACTGAGAAGTATATGCTCCATCAGCTTTGGCCTGTATATTATGGAAAATGTCCCGTGTTGCCTTCCCCTCAGGTTTACAAATGCAATTTTAGGAGCTGTTTGCATGTAGCCACTTGGAAAGTTGGAAAATGGAGCAAGGTTAGAATATAATTATAAATGTAAACCCTTCTGAATGGGACTGTCTCATTCAGAAAAAGTATGGGTATGGGGTAGTTTGGAATGGCTGGTAATTTCTTTGTCTAACTATATGCTCAATTGTCACATGTCCCTATTGTCTAGAAACCACTGTATCAGTTATGTATAAATAGAAATATCTTACCTGTTTTTCTATGCTTGTCATATCCTGCTTTAGAATAGAGACCATAACTACTACTTATTTTCAATAATGTTCCTTATACTTTGAATAGGTGCTGAAGCAATATTTATTGGTTTGGAGAAGTAAAAAGTCTAATGTATGAGTAATAAAAATAATTTACGCTATATTCTATTCCCAGTTTAATTGATAAAAAGCAAGTAAATATTGCTTTTCAAATGTAATATGCAATTTAATGAGAAAAACTCAATAGTATTAATAATCATAATTGATTATTATTTAGGAAATATTGACAATGTACTGTTACTATAACTATACAAGGGCCTCCCCTGGTGGCGCAGCAGTTTAGCACTGGGCTGCGAAGCTGCCCGCAGCCTCTGCAGTGCTGGTTTGATCTCCGGCCACCTGCGAGGGTCCCACATGGTGAGACAGACCTCTTCTGCTGCGCCCGCTGCTCCCCTCAGCAGTGTATTTCATTGGTCTGCCTGTTCTGTTCCCGCTCTGGCTCTGGTGAATTCTCTCACCCTCCCACACTTCTGACTGTACCCAGTGCTTGTATAAATAAATAACTAAATAAATAACTAAATAAATAAATAAGAAATCTTAAAAAAATATAACTATACAAAATATATTAAACAAAATCCAGAAAAACAATGGGTTCATACTCCTGCACTCAAGTATCCAGAGTATTTTTGTACCTGCAGTAGATTTAGCCATGACACATCATCAGTTTGTTCTAAAATTACCGAGCCTAAGAGGAAGAGACATGGATTTACTAGTTTTATAATCTATTATCCACTTTACCTTCAAATTTTTGTCTGTTCACAGTGCTCTGTGACTTGCGGAATTGGGATAATGGCAAGAAGAGTGGAATGCATGACCGAAAATGGTTTTTCCAGTGACTTATGTTTAAAGCGTTTAAAACCTGATGCTCAGAAGAAATGTTATGTAAATAACTGTAAGTAATAGGCTTCAGCTATCTCCCTGTACCTAAGAAGTGACTCTATGTATATGACTGAGCTAAACTCATGCTGTGCTTGTAATTTGCTCAGTTTTGATAAGTTGTATTCACTCATCCTTGAAGGTAAAACTTATGCCAGCTGCAAAGAAATTCAGATGAAAAACAACATTACCAAGGATGGTGACTATTACCTTAACATTAAGGGAAGAATAATAAAGGTACTACAAAAGCTGTTGTTCTTTGATTTTACCATTGGCCATTTAATTTAGAAAAACTTTTTCTAGAATTTTGTATTTTCCCATTAGGTCTATTGTGCAGGCATGTACTTGGAGAACCCCAAGGAATATATATCATTGGTCAAAGGTGACGAAGACAACTTTTCTGAAGTGTATGGTTTTAGGTATGAGTTCAGTTTTGGCTTATCTGTTCAATTTTATGATCCTTTAAGAAAATCAGAAGTTCCAGTGTAAGAGTGATCCTTGAATAACTCGCAAGAGGGATAAGTATTTTGGAGTAGGTGCACATATTAGGACCGAAGCCGGATGTTACCCACGCTTGTTCAATATGAAGACAAGGGTATTAACATATGCGCACAAAGACTGATTAAGAACATGTGGGTTAGCAGTGGGACAGCAGACAAGAAAACATAAGACCTATGTGTATTTTCATCATCATCAAATTAATTCCAGTAACAAAGCTAAGAGAATGATAGTTGAAATATTTTTCCATGAACTGCTTTTAATTTTCCCATTGAGAATTGTGTATCTTGTCTTTGACTTTTATTCTTTCTTAATTGATACTATAATATTTAAGAGCAGGAGTGTATCTTTTACTTTCCAACTTCCAAAGGTTACCATATGGCTGATGATTCATCTAATACTAAAAATATTCTAATGTTGTTACAGATTACAAAATCCATATGAATGTCCTTTTAATGGAAGTAGGAGGCAAGACTGTGAATGTAAAAATGACTACTTGGCTGCTGGGTACACTGTCTTCAGTAAAATAAGAATTGATCTCACTTCTATGCAAATTAAAAGTAAGTGCTGAATTTCTAGTTATAAAATAGAAGTCTCCATTTGCAAATTGAAATGTAACAATATCATAATATATATGGTATCCAGGGTATAAAGAGGGACTTAGTATTATCCAATAATTCCTTAATTAACAAAGTGTTACCACTTGCACTTCTATGTTCATCGCAGCACTATTCATAACAGCTAAAATATGGAAATAATCTAAATGCTCCAAAACAGAGGACTGGATCAAGAAGATGTGGTCTGTATACATAATGGTCAATATTCAGTTGTCAAAAAGACAAACTCATGCCATTCACAGCAACATGGATGGAGCTAGAAGGGATGATGCTCAGTGAAATAAGCCAGAAGGAAGAAGAAAAATATTGGATGGGGGAATAGAGGGGCACCATACATGAGATGAGGGGGAAAAAAGACAAAACTTGCAGGCAAATTATAAATTGGAGACATCCATCAGGGAAGGAGGAGAGAAATGGATCAAAATAGGAGGGAAGAGCACTAGAGTCTATGGTGATGGTTCATGGGTGTCTTGGTGGTGGGAATTTTATGGGGATACTACCTGAGAAAAGAAAACAAACATTGTATAAAGATGAACAATGATGTAAAAAATATACAAATAAATAAATAAATGATAAAAAAAAGTGTTATCAGCTATGTAAATCCTCTGCCATGACATGGACTATGAAGACACTTAATAAAAATGTAGTGGTAATGACAGTAATAACACAGTGCCCTTTCAAGTTATAACCCTCTACCTTAAAATCCCTAATGGCATTAGGATAAAGAAGTTAATATCCCATCACAGCTGTATATGTTTTTTAAAGTATTAATAATTAGTCTTAGTTTCATATTGTCAAGTATTTTCCCATAAGTTTGTTACTTTAGCTTTTTAGCAACCTTGTATTCCTAGAGACCAACATTGCTTGATAGGGTTGCAAGTAATGAAATGAATATTCACATATAGAAATGTAGTTACTTGTCCCTACTCAGAGTTACTAACTGCCTTTGCAGGAAGATAAAATTGCATTAAAACACCTCAGATTATGGTTCTGATACCTTTCTAGGAAGTAATTTTTAATCAAGTCAAGTCAAAACATATCATGAAACCTAATAAGTGCTGAGCATAATGAAGTCTATCATCCTGAAAGTTGCATATTTACATAAAAAGGAAAAAAATAATTTTATTATTTTTTAAAGATTTATTTTTATTTATGCCTACAAGAATTGGGGTATAGGCCAGAGATGTGGGGGGTGAGATGATTCACCAGAGACAGAGTGGGGAGCAGAACAGGTGGATTGACTGAAATCCACTGCTGAGGGGAGCAGCGGGCAAGACAGGAGAGGTCTGCTGTGCCATGTGGGTCAGCTCCCTGGCCAGGGATTGAACTCATGCCATAGCAGTGATAGTGCTGACACTCAACCACTAGGCCACCAGGAAGGCCCTGAAATTAATTTTTTTAAAGATTTTTATTTTTTATTTATACAAGAGCTGGGGTACAGACCAGAGGCACACAAAGGTGAGAGGATTCACCATAGACAGAGTGGGGAGTAGAACAGGTAGACAGACCAAAGACACTGCTGAGGGTAGCAGCGGGTGAGACAGGAGAGGTCTGTCGTGCAATGTGGGTTATCTTCCTGGCTGGCTGGGAATCGAACCTGTGCTGCCAAGGCTGAGGACAGCCTCATAGCACTGTGCTCAAAGTGCTGTGCCACCAGGGAGGTCCGGCCCTGAAATTAATTTTAGAGTCAGGAATGAACTCAATTGCAATGGAATAGTTTATGCCTAATAGAGCATAAACTATACAAGAACACAGAAAAATATTTGTGAACATAGTGAATGTACAAATATGAAATATCAAAATTCATAGCCATATGATGATCAACTACTACTGATAGTGATAATAGTGGAGAAACATGCTAGTGTCACAGTTTATAAACTCTGGAGTTTGACTGGTTGTAAATCCTTTACCTTCATTTAGCAGTTATGTGACCTTTTTTTTTTTAAAAAAAAAATATTTATTTATTTATACAAGCACTGGGTACAGTCAGAAGCACAGGAGGGTGAACAAATTCACCAGAGCCAGAGCAGGGATCAGAACAGGCAGACCGATGAAATACACTGCTGAGGGGAGGAGCGGGCATAGCAGAAGAGGTCTGTCTCGCTATGTGGGACCCTCATGGGCGGCTGGGGATCGAACCGGTGCTGCAGAGGCTGTGGGCAGCCTCGCAGCCCAGCACTCAACCACTGCGCCACCAGTGGAGGTCCAGTTATGTGACCTTTGACATAGCTTTAAATGTAAATTCCCTCATCTGTAAAATAAGAAACTGCTCATATTTTCCCATTTTCCCCCTCTTCTTTATTCCATTCTCTCTTTTTTTCTTTTGTGGGGAAGGGGTTGATTTTTTAAAATTATGTTTATTGAGGTAATTTTGATTGATGACATTATATGTTTTAGGTGTATAGATCACAACTCTACAAATATGTATTATCATACCACACCCAGCTCCAAAACACCATAGTCTACTGAATAACTTTCCCCATTTTTCCCCCATCCCACCCTTCCCACCAGGAGCCTCAATTCTATGGTCAGATGTCTAGAAATTTTAAATGTGTCCTTTCCTTTGTCTACTTAATTTATGTTCCACATATGAGAGAAAACATCCAGTATCTGTCTTTCTCTTACTGACCTATTTTGCTTAGTCTTGTCCCCTTCAGTTCCAGCCATTCTGTCACAAAAAGTATGATTTCATCTTTTTTAGAGCTGAGTAATATTCTACAGTGTGTATAGATCACATCTTCTTTACCCACTTGTCTGTCACTGGGTACTTAGACTTTTTCTTAACTTGGCTAGTGTAAATAGTGCTGCAATGAACATAGGATGCATACATCTTTTAGAATTAGTGTTTTTGTATTCTTCAGGTAAATGCCTGGAAGAGGAATTGTTGGATCCCTCTAATATCTTGAAAAGCCACCATACTGTTTTCATTAGAGGCTGAATTAACCTATATTTCCATCACCAGTGTGTAAGGATTCCTGTTTCTGCACACCCTTTACAATACTTATCTTCATTCTTTTTGATGTAGGGCATTCTTCTGGGTGTAAGTGGTGTCTCACTGTGGTTTTGATTTGTATTTCCTTGATGATAAATGATGATAAACATTTTTCATGTGTCTGTTAGTCATTTTATTCTTCCTTATAGAAGTGTTCATTTAGCTCTTCTGCCCATATTTTGATTGGGTTAGTTATATTTTTATTCTCTGTTACATACATGAGTTATTTGCATATTTTGGGTATTTGTCCCTTGCAAATGTATGATGTGCAAACATTTTCTCCCATTCGGTAGGGTATCTTTTTACCATTATATTTTCTTTTGCTGTGCAGAAGTTTTTAATTTTGTATAGTTACATTTGTTTATATTTGCTTTTGTTTCTTTTTCCACTGGATTTGCATTACCAAAGACATGATTGAAGCCAAGTTGTGAAGTGTTATGCTGATGTTTGCTTCTATATATTTTATAGTTGCTAGCCTTATATCAAAGTCTTTAATCCATTTTGAATTAATTTTTTACTGTCTTGGTTTGACAGTGGTCTAGTTTTATTATTTTGCATGTAACTGTCCAATTTTCCTAGCACCACTTGTTGAATAGGCTTTTCTTTCTCCACTGTTTATTCTTGACTCCTTTGTAATAAATTAATTTATTACATATAGGTGTGAGGCTTTTTCTGGCTTTCAATTCTGTTCCATTGTTCTGTAAGTCTATTTTTATTTCAATAACATACTAGTTTGATTGCAATTGATTTAAACTATCATTTGAATCCTGGGAGCTTAAAACATCCATTCTCTTTTTCTTAGAATTACTTTGACTTTTTAGGAGTCTTTGTGGTTCCATATACATTTCAACAATGTATGTTCTGTTTCATTAAAGAAAGCTATTAGAACTTTGATAGAGATTGCATTTATATTGTTTCCGATATGATGGACATTTTAGCAATGCTAATTTTTCCAGTTTGTGAACATGGAATATCTTTCCTTTATCTTGTTTTCTTTTATTTCTTTTGACAGTGTCTTATAGTTTTGTTGTAGAGGTCTATCACCTCCTTTGATATATATTGTTAAGTATTTAATTTTTTTTAAAGATTTATTTATTTATACAAGAACCAGGGTACAGGCCAGATGCGTGGGAGGGTGAGAGGATTCACCAGAGACAGAGCAGGGAACAGAACAGGCAGATTGCCAAAAAACACTGCTGAGGGGAGCAGTGGGCGAGACAGGAGAGGCCTGCCACACCATGTGGGATTCTTGCCGGCCGGCAGAGGCTGTAGACAGCTTCACAGTGCGGTGCTCAACTGCCTGCGCCCCCAGGGGAGGCTCATTTAATTATGTTTGATACAATCATAGATGAGATTGTTTTCTTGAATCTTTCTCTTCTTTCTTTCTTCTAGTTAGTTATTTGTATACAGGGATGCAAAAGACTTATATACTGATTTTGTGGTTTTTTATGTTTATTAAAACACCATCTATAGATATTGATAGTTGATTGTCTCTTGTATTCCCTTGTATGTTGAAAACTATCTTTATTGCAGTGTCTGGTTTTCAATTTTATCTTCTTTGTTTCTTCCACATGGTTTATATATAGGATCCTATATTTATAACCTATTTTAAATTGAAAAACACTTTAATATTGAGTTCCTTTTACCAATCCCAATTTTTATTTTTCTTTCCCCTCCTTATTTTCTTTCTTTACTTCTGAATGAGGTTTCTATTTGTTTTAAAGCAGTTTAAAAGGGACTGTTTGAAAAATGTGGAAGCCTGTTTGGAGGAGAAGAATTTCTCCAACTATTGTTGGTGGTGAATTGTTTAAATGCACTGATATACATGCTGTTCATAAGCACTCAAATATTGCTTGGTCATAACTTATTTAGCTTTTAATAATATTTTCTTTTTCAATAATTTTGTTCCTGTCACATTTCCTCTATTTTCAATAGCCACTATGTTATAAAATATAATAAAGTAGTTTTTAAAGATATTTTTTATTTATTCATGCAAGAACTGAGGTGTAAGCCAGAGGTATGGGGGTAAAAGGATTCACCAGAGACAGAGTGGGGAGCAAAATAGGCAGATCTACTGAAATACATGGCTGAGGGGAGCAGTGGGCAGACAGGAGAGGTCTGCTGTGCCCTGTGGGTCAGCTACCTGACGGGGGATTGAACTCAGGCCACAGTGGCTCATGTTGCATTGACTGGCAATAGCTTGATAGCACGGAGAATTTAACCCCTGCACTACCAAGGAGCCCAGTATCTAGTTTTTAAAGCAATTGTATATTACAGATGTACCTGCCATTTGAGGGCAATTTTTGAAATGAGCGTTTTTGTATTAAAGAAAAATTAGTTTTTGAGAGTTTGATCTATGTGGCATAGGATAACTGAATGGCATTTTTGCTAAAACCTTGAATTCATTATCTAAACATATTTAATAAAATAAAATGAAGACTGCATTTTATAAATATATTAGAAAACATAATGTTTGGATTCTAAAGAGTTCCATTTATTGTTTTCTAGCTACAGACCTTCATTTTGCCCAGACACTATTTGGTAAAGCGGTGCCATATGCCACAGCTGGGGATTGCTATAGCGCTGCCAGATGCCCACAGGTACTTCATAAATTTTTTATTATTTTTTCTTCACTATGAATAATAATTATACTTTTTCACTTCATTCACTTTTTTCATGAAAATATTGCAATAAACTTAAGTAAATAAAACATGTAAAACTTCCTAGACATTAAATATTTTAAATGATTGAGATCTTCCATGATAGTTTATCATATTTAATTTTCCACTTCATTCCTGGAAAATAATGGATGTGTTACAAGGTAGAGGAATGAATCACAAACATGTGAATTTCATGCACTGCCACTAACATCATTTATGTCAGCCTATGGGCTAATACATTGTAGTAACATTTGGAGAACAACTTTCTATTATCTGTGAAATAGTGCATTTCATGTCTGAGTTTACTTCCTTTCATGTCAAGATGTTTCATATCCTGCATTTATCCTTTATTTCTGGAGATGTCTTTATACATTTTTTTGACATCTTTATGCTTTCCAATATAGAGTGTACTTTCTAGAAGAAAAATTTCCATTTCGCTTTTAACAAGGTGTTTTATAAAGTCTGTGTGAATAACACTTTTGTGATAAAATAGAGAGATATAAACTAGATTCATATAACATTGTTAGATTCACAACTAATTGAGAAATAATGATAAGAGGTAGTAATGAATATATTGATTTCATTTGGAAGAGAAAATAGATAATGGTTTGCCATAACTATCTTCTGTAATTTTCCTTTTATCAGTTCACCAGTCCACTTAGGAAAAGCTACAGAATTTTCTTATCACTTGACTTTCCCCTTAGAAAAAGCTTTGTCTAATTCTCTTGGATATAGAGGTAGAAACCACTTATGGGTGTGACACCTGTTCTCTGTAGGTAGGATGCGTGGGTTGGTGGTACTCCTTGGTCTTCTTGGCTTGTCCTTTTCAGCATGAAACCTCTGTCCCACTGGTGATTTTGATGGGAGTGATTTGGACTTTGTGTCCTTGGTCTGCCATAATTATAGTAGATCCTCTGTTCTGTGATCAGGTACTGAGTAAAAGATTGGAGCTTCAGATTATATTAACTATTTTTGGTTTGCTATGACCATTCTTGGTTATATTTGCTTGAGTGTGTGTCCCACAGAGGTGGGTAAGGTGAGAAATACTGTTGGTTTGTACCTCCCAGGAAGAAGCCTTAGTCCTAACAAGGAGTTTGAAGAAATAGAATTGTCTATTTCCAGATGCACCCATGAAAAGTAGTCATCTTGCTGGGGGAAGGGGGAAGAGAGGACAGGTTGTGGTTTAAATATCACAGATGCTTACTGTTCTAACCCGGATTTCATAGATTTTCTTGAATAAATGTCTCTCCATTTGTTGTATAACTCTAGGACATTTCCTAGAGACTTTAAATGGTTGCTGTATTTTATAATTTTTTAAACAATTACATTTGTTCTATTGGAGTGAATCTATAAGGCTTGTCAAGTTGCCATTCCAGAATTGTTTCCTCTCTAGGCTGAAATTTTAAATTCAACCAAGGAAACTGCAGCGGAATCCCATATACCCATTCATTCCTACTTCTCTCATATCCATCTATTGTGTGATTGTTCTATCTTCCAGACACAGTCTCTCTGACATGTGTCTTCTGTCCAGTTCCTTCCCAGAACTGCCCTTCCCTTAATGAACTTCCCCTTCTGAAATTTATACTATATCTCTTTAGATACCTATTCTAAAGTTAAGGATGTATAATTGAAACTTTTAGTATTCAAAATAATCATTTCCCTCAAATATAAATTTTTAAATAGCACTTGGATTTTGATCCTGTAAAATAAGATTATTCATTCTCCAATGGTTAACCCATGTCAAGACTGGACACCTTTTTCCAATAACCCATCCTCTTTCTTCGCTATGCCTACTGACTATATACTTATGTGATTAGAAAAAATAACTTGAGAATGTGATCTAGAGATGTGAACAGTTAGCTGATGCAAGGTCTCATAGATGCAGTTATTTTGGAAAGTTGACAAAGTTCTGGGAATCTTGTCCTTGTCATTACATGTTGAAATTGAATAAGGTTATTCAATGAGAAACCAATAAAATTTACAAGAGACTGGTAGACAAGTTAATTAAATAACTGGTAAAGGAATCAAACTCCTTTAACCTCATTAATGAACTTTCCTTATAGGAAATATCTTAACAGAATGCTTCTCAGTGTGTGGGATCTGAATTAGAGATATAAATACAACAGGATTTTAAATAAGACAGTTATTTTCATTTCTTTCTAACTCACTTTCTTCACTTTCTGTGTAGCTCCACTTATAACCTTAAAGTATCTTGACAAAATTACATAGATGTAAATTAAATATTTGTAATTGAAGATCCTTAAGAAAATAAGAAGCAGGATCAGTAATAAAATGCTCCTCTCTGGCAATCCTAGTGAGATACCTCCCTCTCAAATTTCTCTAGGCATTTTTGCAATGCAAAAAATCTGTTTCCAAAATTCATAGCTATCAGCAGAGCTATGCCCACTATACTCAATCTGTATCGAACCACCCAAGATTACTGTTAACAAAACTCAAACTGCTTAGTGTTCTTGGGATGTTCTGTAGAATATATAAACCAAATTCTTTGTTAAGTTACACAACATTTGCATGAATACTATCCAGATGTTCGATGTCACAGAAAGGAGTTCTTCTGTTGTTTAGGACTCATCAAAACCACATCCTCTGTGTTTGCCTATGACAGGTTACTCCTGGACATAAATACTAAAAAAGAGAATGGAAACATGTGAAACTCTTTTTTTTTAAGATTTATTTATTTATCCATAAAATCACTGGGTACAGTCAGAAGCGCGGGAGGGTGAGAGAATTCACCAGAGCCAGAGTGGGGAACAGAACAGGCAGAGAGATGAAGTACACTGCTGGGGGGAGCAGTGGGTGGCAGGAGAGGTCTGCACGCCTTGTGGGGCCCTTGCCCAGCAGCCGGGGATCGAACCGGCGCTGCAGAGGCTGCGGGCAGCTTTGCAATCCAGCGCTCAACCGCTGCGCCACCGGGAAGGCCCCCAAACATGTGAAACTCTTTATGGAAAATAAACATTACAATATAAGCTGAAGTTAAGGATTGTGATGTGACTTTAGAATACATATATCAACAATGAAATAAAGAGTTTTTTTACTTTTCTCAGAACCTCAATTTATAACAAAAAATAAAACACCAAATGTGTATCTCTAACTGGTTTGTAACTAATATTGATTACATAAAAGTAAAAAACATGACCACATTCAGATCCCATTTTTGAGAATTTTAAAATCTGTATTCTTTATTTTATTATTATTATTATTTTAAAGATTTATTGTATTTATTTATGCATACAAGAACTGGGGTCTAGGCCAGAGGTGCGGGGGTCGAGGGGACTCATCAGAGACAGAGTGGGGAGCAGAACAGGAAGATTGACTGAAATCTACTATGGAGTGAAGCATCAGGCAAGACAGGAGAGGTCTGCTGAGCCATGTGGGTCAACCCCCTGGCCAGGGATCAAACTCAGGCTCTCGCAGTGAGACTCAACCCATAGGCCTCAAGGGAGGACCTTTTATTTTCCTATGAGAAATAGGAAATAGGAACATGGTATATGTTTGTTTGCTTTTACAAGAAATTACCGAACTGTTTTTTATAGAATGGTTATCCCATCTTATATTCCTACGAGCAAAAATTAAAGTTTTGGTTGCTCTGTTTCCTTATCAGTACTTTGTATTGTGAAGTTTTTGTTTGTTTCCCCATTTCAGTGGTACCTCACTGTGGTTTTAATTTGCATTTCCCTAATGGCTAATGATGATAAGTCTCTTTCATGTGCTGTTCTGCCATCTTTGGTAAAGTATACATGCAAGTCTTTTACCCACTTTCAAAGTTGGATTATTTTCTTACTCTTGAGCTTTGAGTGTTCTTTATATATTCTGGATACAAGTCTTCCTGGATATATTTCCAAATATTTTCTTCAAATCTGAAATTTACCTTTTCTTTCTCTTAAGTGTCTTTCATAGAGCAAAATTTTTGATTTTAGCGAAGTATAATATATAATTTTGTCTTTTATGGGATGGGCATTTAGTGTCATACTTAAGAACTTTTTAACACAGTTACACATATTTCTCCTGTTATTTGCACAAACATTTATAGTCATGTTTTACAACAGACTTATGTTGAATTTTGAATTAATTTGTATGAGGTCTAAGGGGTTGAATATATTTATCCAATTGTCCTAACACCATTTTTTTTACTTCTAAATTTTTATTTTTTATATATATTTTTTACATCATTTTTCATTTTTGCACAATGTAGGATTTTCATCTTGGTTATAGTCCCCATACAATTCTCACCACCCTTGTTTATTAAAAAAGGTAACATTTTCATCATTTATTTGCCTTTCCACCTTTGCCAAAAATTAATTGGATTTTTATGTGGGTCTATTTCTGGGATGTCTATTCTGTTCCACTGGTATACATTTCTTTCTTTTTTATCAAATTTTAAATTTTCTTACATTGCTGTTCATTTTTGTACAGTATTTGATTTCTCTCCTCAGGTGTAACTCCTGTAAGTCTCTCACTACCACATCACCTGTGAACTGTCATCACAGTCCCTCATAGTCTTCCAGCAGTGTGGGAATGCAAACTGGTCCAGCCACTATGGAAAGCTGTGTGGGGGGCCCTCAAATTATTAAAAATTGATCTACTATATGGCCCAGCAATTCCACTCTTAGTAATCTGACCAAAGGACACAACACATGAATTCAAAAGGAAACCTGCACTTCTATGTTTATTGCAGCACTATTTACAATAGCCAAGATATGGAAACAACCTAAATGCACAAAAACAGATAAATGGACCCATGTCTCTCTCTTAACCAACATACCACTGTCTAGGATATGACAGTTTTATAAGAGTTAAAATAAGGTAGCATGGTCCCTGCAACCGTGTTCTCTTTTTTTTTCAAACTTGTTTTAATTAGTTTAATTCATTTGTTTTTCCATATAAATTTTAGAATCAGTTTTCTATATGTATGGAAACTTCTG